TACACAGTGAGTTCCAGGTCAGTCTCAACTACATAATGAGACCCTGTCTCAAAAAAAAAAAAAGTTAATCTCATAGAAGTTGAGCATAGAATAGCGGAGAAAGCTGAAGAGAGAAGAAGGAAGAGAGAAGGGAGAAAGGTTGATCAGAGCGCAGTGGGTGACAGGCTTGAGTAAGAAGTTCTGAGGGTCTGTGGAACCACAGCGTGACTACAGGTAACAGTAATGCGTTATATATCACAAGACACTACAAGAAAAGATCCTGAATGCTTTTACCGTAGAAGTGGTAGTTGGGGAGTCAGATGCCTTTGCCTGAATTTAAACATTACATAAATTATGTAATGTTTACATAAATTACATTACATAAATTATGTAATTACAAAAATTGTACAAGTGTCAAAACATCACATGGTATATCCTAAATATGCACAATTTTTATATTTTCTTGCATCTGTCAGAATAAATTTAAATTAAAATTCTTTTTGTACATTTTTTATAAATGGGATCATACTATTTATCATTTTATGTATGACTTCATTGAACAAAATTTTTGAGACTCATTCTTGATTATTATGGTTTTAGAGTAAGTTTTGAAATTTGATTCTGAGCGTTCTCTAATTTTATTCTTTTTACAAAAGCATTTTATCTATTTTAGGTCCTTTCTGTTTCCATATAAGTTTTAGGATAATCTCATCAATTTCTAAAGTAACAAAAATTGTGATTCTGATATGGAAATGTTAATAATTATTAATCAATTGGAGAAGAATTACCATTTAAAGCATCAAATCTTCCAATCCATCAACATGTAATGTTCATCCATTCACTTTATTTATTCAATTCTCATCACTACATTAGTGACCAAATCTTACATTTCTCTTGTTGAATTTATTCCTAAATATTTTGTATTTTTTGCATGTTATTGCAAATACAATTATTTACTTTTATTTTGGATTGTCATTGCTTATATATACAAATAGCAGTTTTTTATACAACTTATACCTGTGATACAAACTACTCTGTATCCTTCCAGTAGTTTTTGTGTGAATGTTTTAATGTTTTGCACAGCCAACTGTGTAGTCTGATAATAAACCTATTTTATTTCTTCCTTTCCAATTGGATTGATCTATATGTTTACTTTTCTATTTACACAGCCTCTTTCCACTGATTCATCTACTGTTTGCAACTTCTGGTTGATAGGGCTGAATACTAATGATGAGAAGGAATATCTCCATTGTTAAAAGTCTTTGAAGTCTTCTACAACTTCCTAGCAGCTTGGTTCTTCTTAAGACCATTTGCATTGCATCAACATTGTCTACCTTGTTGACCTGGGTCACCTTGTGCCGATTTTGTCACAGTTATCCACTACTCTTTGGCACCGACCCATCTATGACTACAGTATGAGAAAGCGTCACTGTGAAAGACAAGGCTGTTACATTCTTATTTTTGATAGAGACTCGGAGGGGACATGAGTGGGCAAAGTTCTTTTGCAGCTGTGGGCTGGAGGGCAATCTGAGGCCATTCCATGCACACGCCCCTCAAACACAACACCGGGAACCCTCATACTCACTCATGTTCGGGGAGCTCTGGAGTGTTGGAAGAACACTTGAAAGTGCAGGAGTTGTCACTCTATCTTCTGCGGTGACAGATTCATTGCTTGTGATGTTAGGGGTTATGTTTCCTGTTTATATATATATATATATAAAAAGGAGCAGCCATAAGGAGCACAGCAAATCACTAGCAAGTCTTAATATTTATCTTAACATCCAATCCTATTTGAAAATTAGTTGCTGAAAGTCTCCTGATCAAGATTCAGTTATCCAGCTTTAATGTCCATCTATTAGTGATTCAATTAATTATTTTGAAGAAAATAGGGTTATATAAGCTTGTTCTATGTTTCTATAAGTGATGTCCTTTGATCATCAATGTAATTCTATAAAAGAAGTAATCTTGGTGATCATCATTTTATATATGAGACTCAGAGAAATCCAGTAATTTCTGCATAGTCACATAACTTGTAATAGAAAAGAACCAAAATCTACGTCTGAGACTATTTTTTTGAGACATTTTGATTGAAAAGATATCAGCTGTGCTAAAAAGGGGATGGTAAGGAAGAGGTAGTGGTTAAAGGTGGTGCTGATTCTCATCCTGCCTGGGACAGACTTTTCAGGCAGGTGGATGGCAAGGGATGAAGAGGTTCAGGAAAGAAATACAATACACTTTTAATTATACTGAGTTCATGTTTGAAGAAAAAAAAAGAGGGAAATTAACAGTGACTAAAAGATAAGATGAGTTTTTAAAAGATGACATTGAAAAAAAGATGGCTTTAAATGATCTAAATTTGCTTAAACATCATGAAAAATGATGGATGCTCTTCAGTCTTTTTGGAATCCAACAGAGGGATACTGGATTGATGAACAACAGACAGGTGTTCCAGTCAGGACATGCTTGGTTCCAACCAGACACCATGCTCTCTGGACATGGAGAGAAGGCAGGCTAGTTGACTTCAGTCATGGAGTAAGATGGGCTGTGGATTTCTGATGCTTTCCAGGAGGGCCAGTCAGCTTCCAGTCCATGAAAACAAATGCCTACTCTATAATGCAAGTTTTCAGCACCACCAAGAGACTCTGGATGCTGGAGAAACTGATAGTTTCCAAGACTTCATGAATGGAATACAATTATGTCTTCAGATAAAGCCCTTCAGAAATTGATATGTAAATAAAATGGAAATAAATCAAATGTAAGAGAAAAATAAAAGGAATATTATAGGAAATCAATCAAATTACTGATTGAAAGTAGTCAAATTATTATTATTTGCAAATGTTATGATCTTCTTCAAAGAAGATCCAAAAATTTCTACCAAAAAACTAGAATTAATAAATTCAGTAGTGTAGCAGGTTACAAAGTCAACACACCAAAATCTTGTACACCAATAATAATCTCACCAAGAAAGAAATTAGAAAAATAGTGTCATTTACAATAGCATCAAGAAAAACTAAATTCTTAGAAATTAGTCCAAAAAGGAAGTGAAGGACCTCTACAATGAAAACTACAATATTCTGAAAAGAGATCAAGGAAGACATGGAGAAAATGGAAAGATATCCCCTGTTCTCAGACAGGCAAAACCAGTATAGTCAAAATGGCTATAGTTACAAAACTGATATACAGAATTAATGCAATCCTGATGAAAATATGAATAACATTCCTCATAGAATGAGAGAAAACAATCCTAGAATTCATGTGGAGCCAGAAGAGATCAAGAAAGGCAAAAGCAACCCCAGGCAACAAGAACAAAGCAGGAGGCATCACAGTGCTAGACTTCAAGGTATATTACTCACAACATGGTACTGTTGAAAACAAAAACAACAACAACCAAAAACAAACAAACAAACAAACAAACTTAGGTAAATGAAACAGAATAGAAGATGCAGAAACGAGTCCAGGCACATTCAGCTATTTGGTCATTGATAAAGGAGCCAAAAACATACACTGCAGGAAAGATAGCCTTCTTAACAGATGGTGCTAGGAAAACTGGTTATCCACAAGTAGAAGGTTGAATGTAGAGCCATATCTTTCACAATGTACTCAACTAAAATCAAAATGGATCAAAGAAGTGCTTTATCTTTTGCTAGAAGATAAAATAGCTAAAACTCTTGACAGCATAGGTGTAGAGAAGAACTTTCTGAACAGAACCACAATTTGCCCAAGAAATAACACAGAAAAGTCAATAAATAGGATAACGTAGATAGTCTACACTGAAGACCCCAAAAACTCCACCAAAAGACTTCTAGACCTAATTGACACTTTTAGCAGAGTAGCAGGATACAAGGTCAACACACAAAAATCAATAGCCTTTTTGTACACAAACAACAGACTCACTGTGAGCGAAATTAGGGAAACAATTCCTTTCACAACAGCATCCAAAAAAATGAAGCATCTGGGAATCAATCTAACAAAAGAAGCAAAAGGCCCCTACACTGAAAACTAGAGCACTCTGAAAAAAGAGATCAAAGAGGATATAAGAAAATGGAAAGACATCCCCTGCTCCTGGGTAGGAAGAATATAGTGAAACATAGTGAAAATGGCATACTACCAAAACTGCTATACAGATTCATTGCAATGCCAATTGAAATTCTAACACTGTACTTCACAGAATTAGAAAGAAGAATCCAAAAATTCATTTGGAACCCTAAGAGACCTAGAATACCAAAAGCCATCCTAGGCAATAGACACATGACAGTGGGTATAACAATTCCCAATATGAAACTATACTATGAAGCCACTGTGATAAAAACAGCATGGTACTGGCAAAGAAATAGATCTGAGGATCAGTAGAACAGACTGGAAGACACAAAAACAACTCTAGATATTCTCAGCTACCTCATCTTTAAGGAGTTGACTGTCCCACTGGAGGAAAGATAGCCTCCTAAATACATGGTGTTGGAAAAACTGGATCTCAACCTGCCATTGATTAAAACTAGACCCTTATCTCTCACCATGCACTAAATTAAAATCCAAGTGGATTAAAGATCTAAATATAAAAACAGAAACACTAAACTTACTTGAAGATAAGTTATGCAGAACTCTGGAAGACACTGGCATAGGAAAAGACTTTATGAACAAATCCTCAGTAGCATGGGAATTAGCAGAAAGAATCAATAAGTGGGATCTCATCTTATTAAAAAGCTTCTGCACTGCAAAAGAAACCATCAACAGAACAAGACAACCTACAATGTGGGAAAAACGTTTTACCAGCTGTTCCTCAGACAAATGACTATTATCTAGAATATATAAAGAACTCAAAACAATAAGCCCTCCCTAAATATAAAGATCAAATTCGAAAATGGGCATCTGAAATGAACAGATATTTCTCAAACAAAGAAGTAAAAGCAGCAAGTAAATATATGAAAAAATGTTCCACATCACTGGTCATTCGAGAGATGCAGGTGAAAACAACACTGAGATTTTACCTCACCTCACAAAGAATGGCTGCTATCAAGAAATCACACAATAACAAATGTTTGTGGAGTTGTGGGAGAAAGGCCCTTCTCCATTGTTGCTGGGAGTGCAGACTGGTGCAACCACTATGGAAGTCAATATGGAGATACCTCAAAGAACTGGGATTAGAGGTTCTATTTGACCCAGCCATCCCCCTGCTGGGTATCTTTTCAAAAGAATTTAAAAAATCATACCACAATGATATATGCACATCCATGTTTATAGCAGCACAGTTGGTAATAGCTAAAACTTGGAAACAGCCCATTTGCCCCTCAGTTGGAAACTGGATAAAGAAGATGTGGTTTTTCTATAAAATGGAATACTACTCAGCCATAAAGAATGAGAAAGTAGATTCATTCATAGGTAAATGGGTACATTTTGAGGATATACTCCTAAGTGAAATGAATAAGTCACACATGTGTAAAGATCAAATAGTTTCTCTGGTGTAGAAAACTAAAATAGTACTCAAGATCCTAACAGGATAATTAGCAATGTGAAATAGGAAAAGGACTAAAGATGTAGGGACAGTGAGAAGGGTAGGGGCAGGGGAATAAGGGAAAGGGAAAAAAATATGAGAGAATGTAAAAATGTAATTAAAGTGTTTGCAGGTAGGGAGGGGAGGAGGGGGTGAAGAGAGGGTGAGGACAAGGGGGAAAAAATGAGAACCAAGACCTGTCATGTAAAGGTACAAGATCCCAGTAATGAATGTAACTGTACTGTCTACCTAGAATGTACCAATAAATTCAATTTAAATTTAAAAAATAATAAATAGGATCATATAAAATTACAAAGCTTCTGCACAACAAAAGAAAGAACGAATAGAATGAAAAGATAACCTAAGGATGGGAAAAAATTTTTCCAGCTAGTCCTTGGATAGAGGGATACTATTTAGAATGTACAAAGAACTTAAAAATATTAGCCTGTCCAAATTAAAAGACCCAACAACAAAATGGGCAATTGAAATGAACAGCCACTTTTCAAAGAAAGAAATGCAAGTGGTTAATAAGTATTTTATAGATGTTCAACATCTCTGGCCATTGGAGAAATGAAAATGAAAACAACACATGAATTCTATCTTACTCCAGGGAGGAATGGTATCATCAAGAAGACACAAATGCTGGTGAGGGTATGGGGTAAAGAGAAACTTTATAAACTATTGGTGGCAACATAAACTAGTACAGCCCGTATGGAAATCAATGGGGAGATTCCTCAAAAAGCTAAAACTAGAAATTCCATTTGAATGCTTCTTCTTCCAGGTATCTTTCTGATAGAGTTAAAGATATCATGTTACAGAGATACATACATACCCATGCATATAGTAGCCCGTGGTACAGGCCTTGTTGAACTGGGAGAGATTCGTCTGCTTTTTGACCCCATTTACCAAGGTCAGTGCTTACAGAAACTCGAGAATAATCCCAGGCCAGGAATAAAAGTACACTTATATTTGGAGCAGTCCTTTGTCTCGAAACCACAGAAAACTGGAGGAGTTGAGCTAATTTGGTAGCCTCAGAGGGATCCAGAATTTGGGATTTAAAAAAATCACTCTGCTGCAGATGTACAAATAAAAAAAATCCCTCTGCTCTTCCTGAAAATTTCATCTACATGTAGATATTGACTTTTCTCTTCCTCAAAGTCTATTGCAGGAATGTTTCTTGGAATCCATTTTGGTAGCTTTCTTCTTCA